TGCCTACAAGCAACTGTCCAGCATGCCTTGCCTACAAGCAACTGTCCAGCATGCCTTGCCTACAAGCAACTGTCCAGCATGCCTTGCCTACAAGCAACTGTCCAGCATGCCTTGCCTACAAGCAACTGTCCAGCATGCCTTGCCTACAAGCAACTGTCCAGCATGCCTTGCCTACAAGCAACTGTCCAGCATGCCTTGCCTACAAGCAACTGTCCAGCATGCCTTGCCTACAAGCAACTGTCCAGCATGCCTTGCCTACAAGCAACTGTCCAGCATGCCTTGCCTACAAGCAACTGTCCAGCATGCCTTGCCTACAAGCAACTGTCCAGCATGCCTTGCCTACAAGCAACTGTCCAGCATGCCTTGCCTACAAGCAACTGTCCAGCATGCCTTGCCTACAAGCAACTGTCCAGCATGCCTTGCCTACAAGCAACTGTCCAGCATGCCTTGCCTACAAGCAACTGTCCAGCATGCCTTGCCTACAAGCAACTGTCCAGCATGCCTTGCCTACAAGCAACTGTCCAGCATGCCTTGCCTACAAGCAACTGTCCAGCATGCCTTGCCTACAAGCAACTGTCCAGCATGCCTTGCCTACAAGCAACTGTCCAGCATGCCTTGCCTACAAGCAACTGTCCAGCATGCCTTGCCTACAAGCAACTGTCCAGCACGCCTTGCCTACAAGCAACTGTCCAGCATGCCTTGCCTACAAGCAACTGTCCAGCATGCCTTGCCTACAAGCAACTGTCCAGCATGCCTTGCCTACAAGCAATTGTCCAGCATGCCTTGCCTACAAGCAACTGTCGGGGCGGAACGCGTTTTCCTTTGTGGCGAGGTTTGGAATTTTCGGCTATCTGCTGAGTTTTGTGTTTTTTTTCGTGGAAGTGGGTGGGCCAAGAACTTCACTCGCACCTTGGTAGCACCACCCATAGCTACGCCACTGGTGGCATCACCCATAGCTACGCCACTGGTGACATCACTAGGATAGGTGTAATAAAGCGCGGTAAACTCATGGTGTCACCCCCAGCCCCCCCCCCCTTTTTTTTTAAGGCTACCCCATGGTCTTCCTCCGAGTCTACTTAATCTGATGACATTCTGCTCTGGCTTGAAAGGTTCCCCGAACCCTCTGCTAAAAGGAACCCAAATGGAAAAGAATTAACTATCAGTAACTTACATATTTTTTTTGTTGAATTTAAATGATATGATACGGGCGCACGTTCATAATTAACCCCCCTTCTTCGCCCCCCCCCCCTTCCTTTGCAGATAAATGATAGGGTCCTTTCAAAACCCCATCACAAACCACCGCCATACAAACCCATCCCAAACTACCGCCATACAAACCCCATGCTACACCACCGGCCCCCCCCTCCCCTTGTCAAGATGTGGGCAGCGTGCTAAAAAGCGTTCCTTGACCATCGATAGCCAAAAAATGTTAACCACGCCCCTGCACATGGCCAGTATGCAAAAGTAATGTCGCAACTACGCCCCTGCACATGGCCAGTATGCAAAAGTAATGTCGCAACTACGCCCCTGCACATGGCCAGTATGCAAAAGTAATGTCGCAACTACGCCCCTGCACA